TCCAAACTTGCCGAAGGAAGGTACGTCCGGACACTACGTTTTATTGGAGATTTAAAGGATTTGCAAGGATTGACTTCTAGGTGATTTCTTCTTTTTTTTTGCCCCACACTTTTTGAGATGACTGCAAATTCCCCTAAAGGGTTTTAAGCATGGGGTGCATGGATTAGGTGTACGTGAAGGAAGAACCAGAAGGGGTGAAAGTGGGAGGCCTGGAGCACACGTGAGCTCGGTCCTGGCCCCAACCCCACACCTACGCTCCCAGCCCCCAAACTCGTTCCTTTTGTCTTGGTCAAGTGACACCAGTAGCCAGCCTGAGGCTGGGGGAAACACGGGTGACCCCTCTCCTCTCCTCCACGTGCCATCAGATCCCTGAGTCCTGGTGGTTCCTCAACACCTCATATCCGTCCACCTCTTTCCTGCTGTTGCTGCCCGCCCATAACTCTGGCCCGGATTACTGCCCCCTCCTCCGCCTCTTGCTTCCGGCTTCCTCCTCCCTTCCAGGCAGAGCAAAGCCAATCATGTGACTCCCTGGCTTAAAACCCTTCCTAGCCTTCCCATTGCCCTCGAGGTACTGACTAAGAGACTTCCGGGGCACTGCCCACCCGGTCCTTGCAGACCTCTCCAGGTTCAGGCTCCCTCCAGCACCTTTAACCTCTCTTCACCTCCTGGGGCTCCATTCTTTCACCTTGGGGCCTGGAAGCCTGTCTGTCCTCTGCCTGGATCGCTCTCCTCTCCCTACATGTGCATGCCTACTCGTTCTGCAGCTTCCTGCTGGAAAGTCACTCCTTGCAGGTATTCTCCTTTGAGCGACAGCTGCTGTGTGTTAGGAGCCCCCTTCTGCCCTTGCAGCACCCAGAGTCACCCCAGCCTGGCCTGTACATTCTAATTGTTGGTTTCATGTCTGCCCCACCCCCCCATTAACACTTAACTTGGAGATGAGGGCTGTGTTTTGCACACACACAGCTTGGAGTTGAGCGCAAAGTGCATTGTTCTGGTGATTAGGCCTCCCGGATAGATCGCGGGTGTGGTGGGGCCTTCGCGGCAGGGGGGCAGCTGGAGGGGGTGAGGGTGAGTTTGGATAGGTCCTGGAAGGCAGGACAGCATTGCCCCAGGAAGTGACAGCCAGCTGGCTCAGCATGGAGGGGAGGGGCTTGGAGTCCACGAATCTTCCTAATTTGCTCACTTGGCTGAGGTCCACATTTGCTTGTGGAAGGAGCAGTGGATGAAGAGCCCTCATTGCAGAGCTCCTGTGGATCTGTTGGGTGATGTGGAAAGTTTACGTTTAATGGGTCTCAGTCCATCCCCTTCCAAATGAGGTGCAAAGACCTCCTGCCCAGCCGATGTCCCGATGTGGTAAAGCTGGACAGAGCTCGCAACCTGGCTGCATCCAGCTGTGTGACCTCGTTGGGAAAGTGACATAACCTGTGCTTCTTTCCTCTTCTGTAAAATGGGCTCAATAGTATCTGTTAGGTTTGCTGTGAGGCTTAAGTGGAAGTGAAACACAAGACAGCAATTGGCTCATCACCACTGCTCTTGAGACGGATAGTAAACTCTTTCCCACTTGTGAGCAGCAAAATGTGGATGAGTCCTTCTGGTCGCCTTCTGTTTAGCTTCTTGGGAGAATTAACAGTACCAGAAGGGACGGCAGGGTGCAACCACAGTCCCTCCAAGGTGGTTCATCCTGGGACACTGCTGCATTTCAGGGAATGCCAGCATCTCTGTTCCAATCTTTAAGCTGTGGGATTCTCCTCCTTCAAAGGAAGCTGGGAAGGAGAAGGGAGAGGAATTCTGAGAGTGAGGTGAGAGGCCAAGGAGAGAATGCAGAGCTCCTAAGGTTGGAGGGGAGAGAGACCACAGAGAATAATTCAGTGGGTGAATTATCTCTTAGTGTGTCCATGCCACTCCCTTGTTTACTGAAACTTGGCGTTTTTGCTTTCTCTTTCTCTTCCACTTCCTAGTGTGTGCTCCTTGAATTCATCTTGAGAAGTGCTGTGGGAAAGGTCTGGAAGAACAGGATGGTCCTAAGGGCTGGGGTGGGAGCCTTGAAGCCCATTGCCTAACCAGAAGGCATTAGAAGGCTCCCTGGAGCCCCTGCAGATACATGGGAAACACTGGTAGATCAGTCACTTAGGAGATGCTCTGGGTCACTGGTACCAACCGGTGAGCAGGCTTTGTTTTGTGTATGAAAGCAGCCTTCAGCACAGTGTTTTTAAGACCGTTTCATCCCATTTGTGGGTCATGAAATCATTTTAGTGGAGAGTGACCTGCATTTAAAGAAAATAGAAGATTAAGAGTCATCACACTCAGTGAGGGTAAGCATTGTTTTGTGTGTAGGTGTGTACTGGGCCCTAATGTCAAATGTACCTCTTACTGTAATTCATGTCAAAAAAGTGGAAAAACTCTGTCCTTAGGGCAGGAGCTTTGTTATCCATTAGCCTTGGTCCTGCCACCTGTATCAAAAAAAGTTGAGTTTATCTGTGAAATGAGGATATTAATACCTGTCTTGTATTTTGTGAGGACTGAAAGAGAAGGAAATGCGTGTATTTATCACAGCCTGTGGCCCATGCTACGTGCTTCAGCAGTGCACTGGAGCCTGGTATTTTTGTTTGTTTTTTAAAATTTTATTTGTTTATTTTTGGCTGCACTGGATCTTTGTTGCTGCACACAGGCTTTTCTTTAGTTGCAGCGAGCAGGAGCTACTCTCTTTTTTTTTTTTTTTTTTTTTGTGGTACGTGGGCCTCTCACTGTTGTGGCCTCTCGTCGCGGAGCACAGGCTCCAGACGTGCAGGCTCAGCGGCCATAGCTCACAGGCCCAGCCGCTCCGCGGCATGTGGGATCTTCCCAGACCGGGGCACGAACCCGCGTCCCCTGCATCGGCAGACGGACTCTCAACCACTGCGCCACCAGGGAAGCCCAGGGAGCTACTCTTTGTTGCAGTGCACGGGCTTCTCATTGCACTGGCTTCTCTTGTTGCGGAGCACAGGTTCTAGGCACACGGGCTTCAGTAGTTGTGGCACGCAGGCTCAGTAGTTGTGGCTCACGGGCTCTAGAGCACAGGCTCAGTAGTTGTGGCACACAGGCCTAGTTGCTCCGTAGCATGTGGGATCTTCCCGGACCAGGGCTGGAACCTGTGTCCCCTGCATTAGCAGGCGGATCCTTAACCACTGCGCCACCAGGGAAGTTGGAGCCTGGTATTTCTTTCCATCTCTGTTCAGTGACATCAAAGTGGTAGCAGGAGGGCTTCCCTGGTGGCGCAGTGGTTGAGAGTCCGCCTGCCGATGCAGGGGACACGGGTTCGTGCCCCGGTCCGGGAAGATCCCACATGCCGCGGAGCGGCTGGGCCCCTGAGCCATGGCCGCTGAGCCTGCGCGTCTGGAGCCTGTGCTCCGCAACGGGAGAGGCCACAACAGTGAGGGGCCCCCCCCCCAAAAAAAAAAAAAAAAAAAAAAGTGGTAGCAGGAAATTTGCCATGGTAGGAGTATTTATACACCACTGAAATCAGCAAATGCTACAAATCAGGGTTTTTGGTGTGTTTTTTTCTCTTCTGGGAGCTGGTTGTCAAACATTTCCCAGCTTCTCATTGGTGCTAATAATTCTTCCCTTAAAAATCCTGTCCAATTGGGATGGGTATGGATTGAGCTGGACTCAATTGAGAATAATAAGGTTTGGAGGAGAAAGATTAACTTCTGGGTTTTGGGGAAAGCCCCAAGAAGACATTTGTATTCTCTTCCCATGGACTGTCTGCCACTTAACATTTATCGATCACCCACCAATGGATTATCTTGAACATGAAAGACACTGCTTGAGCTTTAAGAACTGATAGTAACATGTGAGTCCTGGAAGGCAAATAATCCAACCCCTGGTTTTGGTTATAAACACCCAAGGAGAGATTTCATACTTTTTGTGTCCATGTCTTGGGGCCCTGCAGGAGGGAGTAGAGCAGTGAGTGGTACATTTGCATTACCTGGAAAGCATAGTTTAAACAGAAATGCCTTGGCCTTCCTGTTTCAAGACTTGGCTTCTAAAGCAGGCCTTGTTCTCTGACGTAGCGAAATGAAATTAACACAGCCGACTCCATCTTGCAGTTGTGCGATGCAGGCGCAGTTGCTGGGAGTGGCGCTTAGCACTCTGTACGGATTCTTGCAAGCTCCTTGAATTAGGCACTGAATTGGGTCAAAAGCACCCGCGAATGAATGTGGCACCTCCTTGCCTTCAGAGGACTTCCACTTTAGCGTGGCCCTGCTTAAACATCACCACTTAACACAACGTTCCGTTTGTCAGCCTTTCTTGAATTTTGTAATTTCATAACAAATAGGCCCACAGAGGGAAAATGACTTGCCCAAGTGCACACAGCCTGCTGGGCAGAGCTTGGACTAAGAGGCAGGAAAAGCCCCTCCCTGTGAATGGCCTGGGCAGCTTCGGGCTTTGCAAACAAGCCTGACTCCGAAGGCAGCTTCCCTCTCTGGGAAATAGGATGGAGGTGGCGCCTTCCTTCCCCCACGAGGGGCGCCCCAGTAGTGTCCCAGAGTGCAGAACCCGGGGTGGATATATATCTGGGCTCCAGTGCTCTGAAGGCAGGCTACTACGAGGCCTGCGCTTTCGGGGGACTGCAGACACCCCTCTCCCCCGCGCCACCCGGCAGACAGGGGAAGCCGCTCCGCCACCACGTGACGCACCCGCCTGGGAGCCTGCGCGCAGCCTGGCGAGGCCCCGCCCCTCGGGCCGCCGCGCGCCCGTAGCGCGCAAAAGTCCCGGGTCGGGCTGGAGAAGGGGAAAGCGGGGGAGGGGAGCGCGGCGCGGGGGGCAGTCCCCGTACGTCGCGGCGTTCCTTCCTCCCGCCTCTTCGCCAGGCCCTGTGTCTCCTCGCCGCGGCTCCGCCCGCTGGTCCTGGCGCCCTAGCCTATGGTGAGGCGGCGCGAGCCTCTCTGGCCGGAGGCGGGGCGTGCGCGCGGGGCCTGGCGCGCCTGCGCCCTGCCGCCCGCCCCTCGCCGTGAGGAGGAGGTGGAGGAGGAGGCGGCTCGGGGAGATCGAGCAGCTAGCTGGAGCGCGGAGCGTGAGTGAGGGAGCAGAGCAGCCTGCCCGCCCGCCGCCGCCTCCCCTCCGTAAGCAGGAGCCCGGGCCGGGGCCCGGCACGCAACCCCAGCCCCTCCCTTGTCGTCAGGCCGCGAGGGCAGAGCGCGCGAGCCAGGGGGAGGGAAAGCGAGCGAGCGCCGGGAGGAGGCGACCGGACCGAGCGAGCGCCCGCGCGTGTGGCGTGAGGGGAAGCCGCTGCCCGCCCCCTTCGCCTTCCCTTCTCTCCCCCTCCCCGCTCCCCCCCCGACCGCGGAGCAGCACCATGTCGGCGCCGGCGGCCAAAGTCAGTAAAAAGGAGCTCAACTCCAACCACGACGGGGCCGACGAGACCTCAGGTGAGGAGCAGGCGAGGCGGGGGCCGGCCCGCGCCGCCATCTTCGCCACCCGCCCGGCCGCAGGCCGCCGGCGGGGCTCGGGGCGCGCGGGGGGCGCCGGGCGGACGGGTCGGCGCGCGCCTCGGCGCCCTTTTTTGTGCGCGCCGGGCCGGGGCCGGGTGGCGCCGCGGCGGCGGACGGCGCTGCGAGGCGGGGGCGCTGCGGCCTGCTCGGCGCGGGCGGAGGAGACCCCCCCTTCCTCTCCCCCCTCCCTCGCTCTCCTCCCCCTCCCTCCCTCCCGAGAAGCCTCTCTTTATTGTGCTCCGCCATGATGCCTCGCTCCCATCAGCCGCCGTCGCCGCCACATGGTGCGGCCGGACGCGGCCCCGCGCCCGGGCCTCCGCGCGGCTCCCCCTTCGCGCCCGGCCCGCGGGCGGCGCCCCCACACTCCCACCCGGAGGCCGGCCCCGGCGCGGTCCTCTGCCTCGAGCTGGGGCGGGGTGGGGGCGCGGGGAAGCACGCGGCCGCGTCGCGGCCCGGGCTGCTCGGAGGATGCTCTGGCTGGCCCCGGGCAGCCCCCACGTGGGGTGGCCACCTCGTCGCGGCAGCGCGCTGAGAAACCTGGCGCGGCGACCGGGGCGTCGGAGGGTCTTTACAATCGCTCGGAGCAAACCTACTGGGCTTTTCCGTAAAGGCTTTCTCGGCAGGGGGGCTGCACCACCCGGGCTGGTTGCCGGAAATGAACCGCGCGATCTGGCCCCTTCACGCCCCCTTAGCTTTGTAGGTTTTGTGGTCTTTACCGGACAAAAGGGTACCTTTCCCGTAGCACACCCCCTTTTCCTCCTCTCCGTTCTTTGGCCCATAGTTTCTGACTGCATGCTTGCTCCCTGTAAGTGTGCTCCAAAGTCGTGCGGGGCCGCCTCTGAGATCAGCCCGCCTGAAATTGGGTTGGAGGGGCGAGAAAGGTCGGATTCGAATCCGGGGGTTCATATTCTTAGAAGGTAAAGTCCAGTGTTTACGGTGGTGAGGTAGTTCCCAGGGCCTTCCCTGTCTTTGTAGGCGTGTCTGCTGTCTTAATAGTAATCAATACTGAGCAATATTTTCAACTTCGTGTAAAAGGGGGTTTCACCATGGAGATAGGTGGTGTCCTAATTTTTGTTATTGTCATGGGTTAGTTTCCGTATTCTAGTTAATAGCTGGTGCTACTCTGTTGCAGGCTTATAATGTAATTTTTTAAAGAGAACTTAAGGATTTCTGAATAGCGTTTATTATCTCATTATAGAAACTTTAATTGGTCTTGTAATAGAACTCGTAAAAGCGTTACAGTCAAACATTTTGACTAGTCTAACAGCATGATTTGTGAATAGTCTTAATTGAAAAGTAATTTGTCAACTATACACATGAACACGTGGAAAGCATGCCTTGTAGTAGTAGGCAAGTTTTTTTTTTAAACAGCTTTGATATAACATCACAGACTGTTAACATCAAGAAGGAAAAGCAGTTAAATTTATTTTCAAATTAGTATTGAGTCTCATGCACCTTTTTCTTGCAGAAAAAGAACAGCAAGAAGCAATTGAACATATTGATGAAGTACAAAATGAAATAGACAGGTGAAGTTTTTCTCAATTTGCTTTGAAGTTTTCTGACATGCATCTTATGGTTTGGTAAATATTGAAACTATGGCCAAATACGTCTGTATCTACTGGCCAAGTGGAGATGATTATAACTTAGTTGGAAATACCAATATGAGGATTCAGTGTTATTTTCCTGTGAAACATTTTCCAGTCACCAAAAAGTTTCTGATTAAAATACATTGACCTTGTAAAGACAGGGTTTGCTTTCGTAGCCTACAAGTTGTCTGAGTTGCGTTGTGTGCACTTGTGATAGTTTAGTATTATGGCATCATTGTTGCTCTGACTTGCCTTATAACTTTGTTACTTCGTTGGCAGCTTTTTTTTTTCTTCTTGATCTGCCTGAGGGAAACAATCGAAGTTGGCCTGGTAACAGAGTAGATAGATATACAAAGTTACCAAAATGCTGTTTGGGCACCGTCAGGACTGTCAATTGTCCAGTGCCTATTGGTAAAGCTGATCAAATGGCCATCTCAATTTTGACTTGGGTCTCTGGCTACAAAAATCTAGGTGATTTGGTTTTTATAAATGCATACTTTGCATTGTTCTAAAGCTAATAAGAGTAAATATTCTGTAATCTCAGCAATTTTTGTATTTGTTAAGTACCGTCCTCATCAACATGTCTTTTCATTTGCTTCAGACTTAACGAACAAGCCAGTGAGGAGATTTTGAAAGTAGAACAGAAATATAACAAACTCCGCCAACCGTTTTTTCAGAAGAGGTCGGAATTGATCGCCAAAATCCCAAATTTTTGGGTAACAACATTTGTTAACCATCCACAAGGTATGTTGCGGCAAAGCATTATTAGAGGGTGTGGGATGTCCACTTGTTAGAGAGTGGAGGGACCTTGGTTGAGGACCTGGTCCACCATGTTGATTACATGCAGAGGTTGAAACGGGGAGAGGCTTGCAATTCATGCTTTCTATTTAGAAGAGATCCTATTCTATTTGGGATTCTGTTTAATTACTTGATTAAAAGAAAGTGACAGCTCTGACACTGAGCCATTTGGTTTTCAGTTTATAATGGATTTATGAAACCAAATTCGGGAAATTGTAAAAGGGATTGCTTGAGTTGTTTGTTAATGTTTGTTTAATAATCATTTGGCCTATTTACTGATCTAGTGTCTGCACTGCTTGGGGAGGAGGATGAAGAGGCGCTGCATTATTTGACAAGAGTTGAAGTGACAGAATTTGAAGATATTAAATCAGGTTACAGAATAGATTTTGTAAGTATCAGTAACTTGTTTGTCACTATGGAAATCAACTTGAGGATTGGTTAGAAGGGCTGTTTTGTATTGATTTCTAATTCTCTGTTTATTGTAGTATTTTGATGAAAACCCTTACTTTGAAAATAAAGTTCTCTCCAAAGAATTTCATCTGAATGAGAGTGGTGATCCATCTTCAAAGTCCACTGAAATCAAATGGAAATCCGGAAAGGTATTTGAGGGATTGTTGGGCATTGATATTTTCTCTAGTTTGATCTAGTTGAACTATTTAATTAAATATTTGGTGTTTTTGTGATGTGTTAAATGCAGATCCTTAAAATATAAAAATGTCTATTTCGTTAAAGCCAAATACAGTAGCTTGTGGTCTTATAAATTATAGAGCAAGTTTTTGTTGAGGTGGACTAAATCATTTTGGTTTCTACATTGGTAACGTGTGGTTTCCCAAAACCTATTTCTGTCTGCGTTGGGTCTTCGTTGCTGCGCACGGGCTTTCTCTAGTTGAGGCAAGTGGGGGCTACTCTTCGTTGCGCTGCGCGGGCTTCTCATTGTGGTGGCTTCTCTTGTTGCAGAGCGCGGGTTCAGTAGTTTTGGCGTGTGGGCTTAGTTGCTCCGCAGCCTGTGGGATCTTCCCGGCCCCGGGCTCGAACCCGTGTCCCCTGCATTGGCAGGCGGATTCTTAACCACTGTGCCACCAGGGAAGCCCTCTCTGTGTTTAAGTAGTAAATATATTTTAAATTATACTGTGTTTAAGATACTGGTTGTTGAAGTGGAACTAATTTTGTTTTAAAAAAAAGCCAAGTCTAGATGGTAACTTTCAAGAAAAGCTTGATATACAAATTTGACGGCGTTCTTTGTAGACCTAAAATTCTTGGGCTTCTCTTTCTCTTTATTAGCTGTACTTTTTGTAACTTTTTTTAGATAAGAATAATAGTGTAGATCATGTAACATCCACTTTTTGCTCTGCTTTTGGGTTAAAACTTTCTTTAAATTATAGGTATTTAAGGTGTAGTGAGCCTGTGTCAAAAGTTCTTCCATCTTCATTTAGGATTTGACAAAACGTTCAAGTCAAACTCAGAATAAAGCCAGCAGGAAGAGACAGCATGAGGAACCAGAAAGCTTCTTCACCTGGTTTACTGATCATTCTGATGCAGGTGCAGATGAGTTAGGAGAGGTCATCAAAGATGATATTTGGCCAAATCCATTACAGTACTACTTGGTGAGTTGAGAGTGTTCTTTTCAAGGTTGCACTTGTTTCATTTGTTTGGAAATGAGTTCTTGAGGTGACTCTTGGTTGTGTGGGTGTGTTTTTCCCTAGGTTCCAGACATGGATGACGAGGAAGGGGAAGGAGAAGAAGAAGACGATGATGATGAAGAGGAAGAAGGACTGGAAGATATTGATGAAGAAGGGGATGAGGATGAAGGTGAAGAAGATGAAGATGATGATGAGGGGGAGGAAGGAGAGGTAAAAAGATTTGGTTAAATCCAAAAAGAAAATCGTCAAAGAATTCACCATGTTACTTTGGAGATTATTTATCTTGTATAGTGGAACTGACTCAACAAATTGTGGGAAAACTTGTAGAAAAGATAGGCTGTTTTGTCCAAGGTTGAAAATTTTGATAAGCTCATTGTATCAGTGATTCAATTAGTTCTGCTTTTGTGGTTAGCACTTATAACTGTTCAATTATGTCATTCCCTAGCCAGTACTTAATGAAAGGGCTGTGGACAGTGCAGCTGCTCAAATTCTGAGAAATCTCCCAAATAACAAAAATACATATGTTTTGGACAAACTATAAAATTCTTACAATCATATTGGGATAGAGTGAGTTTTGGTTTGTATTACTTGGTCTGAAAGATGTCTGATTTGGTTACTTCTGAAAAGTTAATTTGTCTGAAACGTCACTGGGTCTTTTAATCAAGAATCAGATTGGGATGCAGATTGGGGAGCTCCCTGGTGGTCCAGTGGTTAGGACTCGGGTGCTTTCCCTGCTGAGTCCCAGCTCCTGTCCCTGGTCGGGGAACTAAAATCTGTAAGCTGCGTTGCCCTGGGGAAAAAAAAAAAAGAATTGATGAAGACTGATGTATAGTTTGTTTGTTTTTGTGTGGTTTTTTTTTTTTTTTTGGCAGTGTGTGGGCCTCTCACTGTTGTGGCCTCTCCCGTTGCGGAGCACAGGCTCCGGACGCGCAGGCTCAGCGGCCATGGCTCACGGGCCCAGCCGCTCTGTGGCATGTGGGATCTTCCCAGACTGGGCCTCCCCTGCATCGGCAGGCGGACTCTCAACCACTGCGCCACCAGGGAAGCCCTGATGTATAGTTTGACCTTCGTATCTGTGGGTTCCCATTCTTCAAATTCAACCAACAGATTTTTTTTTTTAAATTCCAGAAAGTTCCAAAAAGCAGAATTTGAATTTGCCAAGTGCTGGCGACTATTTACATTGTATTCACAACTATTTACATTGTATTGGTTATTATAAGTAATCTGAGACAATTTTAAAAGTATATGGGAGGATGTGGGTAGGTTGCATGCAAGTACTGTGCTATTTTATTTAAGGGACTTGAGCATCCTGAGGATTTTTTTAAATTTTTAAAAATTTATATGTCTTTATCTATTTATTGGCCATGCTGAGCGGCATGTGGGATCTTAGTGCCCCCGCTGGGGATCAAACCTGTACTCCCTACAGTGGGCATGGAGTCTTAACCACTGGACTGCCAGGGAAGTCGTCATCGTCCCCCCCACCCCCCGAGGATTTTTGTATGTGGAGAGGGTTCTGAACCATCCTTCGCACATACCAAGGGACCACGGTAGAGGTTCCTAAAATTAATTTCCCTTGGCATGTCATGTTCTATGGAGTCCATCATGGTCCATATGAATACTGGGGACTGGCCTTAGAATTAACCCTAAAGATTAACTGCCTGCTTTTTTTTTCTTACAGGAAGATGAAGGAGAAGATGACTAATGGAACACTGATGGATTCCAACCTTCCTTTTTTAATTTTCTCCAGTCCCTGGGAGCAAGTTGCAGTCTTTTTTTTTTTTTTTTTTTTTTTTTTTCTCCTTTTGTGCTTAGTTGTCCTGTTTTTGAGGTCTCTTTTCTCCTTTATACCATGGCTCACAACTTATTTTGGGGGGAAATACCTTGAGCAGAATTCAGTGGGAAAAGAATCTCTACCCCTTTCTGTTCCGAATTCATTTTTATCCCTTCCTGTCTCAACAAAAACTTTATGGAATCAACACCATCATGCTCTGTGGGAAAAAAGAAAAACCTTCTGCTCCCTTAGCTCTGCTGGAAGCTGGAGGGTGCTAGGCCCCTGTGTAGTAGTGCATAGAATTCTAGCTTTTTTCCTCCTTTCTCTGTATATTGGGCTCAGAGATTACACTGTGTCTCTATGTGAATATGGACAGTTAGCATTTACCAACATGTATCTGTCTACTTTCTCTTGTTTAAAAAAAGAAAAAAAAAACTTAAAAAAATGGGGTTATAGAAGGTCAGCAAAGGGTGGGTTTGAGATGTTTGGGTGGGTTAAGTGGGCATTTTGACAACATGGCTTCTCCTTTGGCATGTTTAATTGTGATGTTTAACGGACATCCTTGCAGTTTAAGATGACACTTTTAAAATAAAATTCTCTCCTAATGATGACTTGAGCCCTGCCACTCGATGGGAGAATCAGCAGAACCTGTAGGATCTTATTTGCAATTGACATTCTCTATTGTAATTTTGTTCCTGTTTATTTTTAAATTTTTCTTTTTGTTTCACTGGAAAGGAAAGATGATGCTCAGTTTTAAACGTTAAAAGTGTACAAGTTGCTTTGTTACAATAAAACTAAATGTGTACACAAAGGATTTGATGCTTTTCTCTCAGAACAGATATACTTAATATGACTTTGCAAGTTTGACTTGTATAATGTTACTGTCAAACTTTGTCACCTTAACTTCGTATTTTTTGATATGCACTTTGCAGGATGACCTCAGGGCTATGTTGATTGAGTAAAGGGATTTGAATCAATGTATTAATGTCTCCATAGCTGGGAACCCATATGGGTACAATTTGACATCAGTTTCTGAAATTTTTCACATCATTTGGGATATCAGATTGCTGAAAACTCAGTTCTGAATATGTTGTACCCTTGATTTGTATCTCAAATTGGCATTTCAAAATATGGGCTTTTATTTACCTGGATATAATAGTGCCTGCCACCACCATCAGACAGACCTGGTGCTCTACTGCCGAGTTAATACACAGGACGATTGTTGGCATGTCTTCACCGGCACTGTAAAACGTGGCCGAGAAGACAGGCTTTCAGAGTAAGAAGTCCGTATTGGTGGTAAGAAACTCAGGTTAGGAGTACTTTTGTCTCAAAGTACCAGCTCTTTTAGCATATAGCTCTCAAATGAGACCTGTCTGTGTGAATCTGGGGGAGATGATGGACTCTGCTCTGTCTGCTAAATGCCATTGTGCATAAATCACATTTTGAGAAGCTACCTAAATGCATAAGCTTTTTAATGCTGTAAAGTATAGTAGCTAAAGTTAAATGCCACTTAGCTTTTTCAGAGATGAATTAATGGACCGCCTGGTCAAATTCAAAGCTTTTTGATGTATAAAAACTTTATAAATGGAACTATTCCATCAGTAGGCAAAGTGTAACGAAAACCTGTCTAGATGGATAGTATGTAATTTCTGCACAGGTCTCTGTAGCAAATACATCACTGTATACTGGTCAGGAATCTTGCTCCAATAAAGGAACATAAAGATTTTTTTGGCTGGGGTCATTCTCCTTGTTTTACAGAGAAATGTTAGTACTTGCTTTTGAATTTAGATGATAAGCTAGTTTTTGCTTTGTGTTTGTTTTTTGGCCTTGTTACTTCCGTTCGTAGTGACTGGGAAATGGGGAGAGCTGTGCTTCAGATCATAGGTACGTCTATGTGGAAAGGTATGTTTGGAAGTCATGGACAAATTACTGTTACTTGGAATGTAGTAGATTCGTGAGGGGATTCTGTATTTTGATTTTGAAGTCAGCATTTAAGGGACTTTTCACTATGGAAAAAAAAGTCACTTGAAGTAATACTCAAGAAGTAATCCTGTGATTTTTGTTTCACAGAGTGACAGCTTACCAAAACTGGTTTTTAATGTGCCGGTGAGGTCATGGCACTGTTAGGTTATTTAATCAAACTACAATGTTTATTTTGGGGAATGTGGTCAAAAGATAGGAGCCCCTAAAGGTAATTTCTTCCCAGTTATTGAGACAACCCTTTAGCTTCCGCTGTGGCCGTAAATCTGAAGGAGTGCTAGGCTGTGAGAAGGCAGAAGGGGCAAACTTAGTGTACTGGAAGATGGCTACAAAGTAGTGTGCTTTGTTTGCAACTGCAAGAGTTCTTGGGCTGGCTCTTAGGCAAGTATGTTTTGGGAAGTGCCAGGTGAATGGCTCAAAGCGCCTTTGGTACAAGGACGTCTAAAAAGAAAAGAGCAAATAGTGGCTGTGTAGCTCATTTCTCTTGGGACATCCTCTTCCAAAGCTGTGCCATACTCTGCTTACAAGGGGAACTTAACTGCATGAATTGGGGCAGAGAGGACAGTAGCTTGTAATGTGTCTTTACATTTAATTTAAAAACTTGTACGGAATGCTCTGCAATTGAGGTTGTGTCTCCAGTGACGTACTGATATTTTTAAGACTTTAGTCTGTGCTCTCTGACCTCCATGACAGGCCCTTACTATTTCAACCAATGCTGGCTCTATAAAGTGTAGAGTTTAAATGTCAGTGGAGTACCTCAATGTCTTGTTGGGCTGACAGATTGGCTTGGCATCTGGCCTGCTTCACCTGTGTTAGCTGTTTGGGTGCTGAAAAGTAGGAGTCTTTTACTTGATGGATTCTTGGGAGTTTGGGGGCTTCAGAGGACTGTATAATTGTGTTTGTGTATTAATTTGGTAATCTTTATCATTACTGCTTTATAACACAACTGGTTTCATGGTTTCACTTGGTCCCATGAACACAAATTTGGTTTTTTTGCCTTTTTTGTTATATTTTGCTATAAACCCTTTCTGGCTATTGTCAGAATGGGATTCTATTGCAAAAAATGAAGACTTTCAGGATTTCATTTAATGAAGACTTACAAGTTTTATTTTTAATGGGTCTGAGGGGACGGACTGCAGTTTTGTGATGAGAACAAGAACAGGGAGGACTTTTAAAGTGGAGGGTGTGTTACAACTTGATTAGTTAGTAACATTGCATACTCAGATACTACCCAAGGGAGGCAAATCTAAATGTAGATGGATTGATGTCTGCAGTACCAGGAAGGAAAAAAAAAGTATAGAAAGGGGTAAATGTTTCTTTATGTAGCCTGCTGGGACAGTTCCTTTCAGGTTGATATTACACAACTTTAATAGCTCGTTAGCCAGAGTTCGTTTGGGCTATTCACTACCCACTGGGTGTTAAATGTGAACTTCAGTTTTCCTAAGAATTACAATTTTATGAAGCACCATCACCATCAGACATGTAAGATGCAGCTATCTTGTCAGACTCATCCATCAGCCCAGGGCTATAGGTTTGTCCAGCCTGGGGTTCATTAGGAAAGGTGGATGTATTCTATTTCTGAACCCCTTTCCCTCAGTGGCCACTGAGACAGTGAAACACTTCACAGCAAAGTTAAAAATCATTGTTCTTCCACATAATTCAGCTTTCTGACTGGAGGATTGGATAAATGAGCCTCAAGATGGGAACTAGATACCCTCCTGAAAGGCAGAGCTTTGCTCGTTTGATGTTTTTTTTCTGAAACCCATGACCTACAGTCAGAAGCTGGTAGTCTTTTTACCTCTCAGTTATTTGTTAACATTCAGCTAAGGGCACTTCGATAACCCCCACTTAAAGGAGCCTACCATGTGCCTGGCTAGCTTGCTTACTAGCTGTTAAATGTCTAACCTTCAATAATTCTGATTTGTATATATATATGTAAAAGTGTTGCACTTGGCTCTGATTATGAAGTCGGCATGTCCCCCAGTGAACCAAGTCTCCTTAGCATATGTTCATGTCACTTGGTTGATTTCCCATTGCAGGACAATCCCAGGATTGCCCATGTTTTGCCGATTTCACTTTCCAGTCCACTGTGAAGGAGGTGATAGAGCAAAGTGGAACTGACATGGTTTCCTCCTATAAAAGCACTGGAGGGCACCTCTTCCAAGTCAGCAAATAAGCCACCTTCAGTATTTGAGCCTTACTCACTTCCGGCCCCTTGGACAAGGCTCCTTCCAGTAAAGTCCTGGCACAAAGTGCTGGTGAGCACAGGATAACAGGAATTGCCTAAACAACTCTAGACTAGGCAGTAAAGAACCAGGGTCCCCTACATACCTAAGCCATTGCAAGAACCGCCTAGCGCAGGCTAGTTTCCTGAAATGGTGGCTTTTTCTCAAGGTTTAAATGTGTATTCTGTTTAGATGAGCCCTTTAGGGCAAAGGCTGAGCAGCTCTGGCTGAACCAGAAAGCTCCAGTCTAGTCAAGTGATGGGGCGGGGGTCCTGAGGGATTTTGGATTCGTTTGTAATTTGGTGTAATTTGGGTAAAGCTTTATTGTTTTCCCACGCGTACATTCTTACAGTGATTACAGACAGGGCCAAGGCTCCTTGGGGGGCGACAGGTATGGGATTAGCCCACTTTACACCAATGGCATGGGAGAGGAAGAGTGACTCCGGGCGGGAGCCAGGTCGCGGCGGGGTTCCGAGGAAGAGGCTGACCCGGCCCAGAGAGGACAGACCACACAGGCATTGCCCCGCGGCCGGCAGGCGGCGCTGTCCCCACCCGGGCCCGCCCCTCTGGGCGCGCGACCCGGCAGCTGGACAACTCCGGCCCGGGAAATGTCCTTTTCTGCCCTTGTATCGCGGGGCGGGGGTCAGTGTCTCAAGGAGCGGGAACCGCGGCCTCAGATGAGGGGCGCTGGGCTCCAAATCCCTCGGAACATCGGATCCGGGGGAGGCGCCGGGGCCTCTGGGTCAGGAGCCGGGCTCGATCCCTCGCGGCCGAGAGGCGGCGCTGATCCCAGGTCCCGCGAGGGCCAGCGGACCTCGGGAGGGGGCGCCCGATCCCGCGACTCCGGCGCCGCTTCCCGGGAAGTTTCAAGTTTGAAAGCCCTGGCGGAGGGGCCCGGGCTTCCGGAACCGGAGTGGTTGAGAGGAGGGGCCGAGCTGCCCGAGCGGCGCCATGGAAGAGGGGGCGCCGCAGCAGGTGAACGGCGCCCGGAGGGGACGGGCCTCGGGCGCGGGCCGGGGGGTGGGGGGAGCCTCATTCACTACCCCGGGCTCCGGCTACGTCCCCAGCCCCTCCCCGTGTCCCTTCCCAGCGCTTGCCCTGCGCCCCCCTACACCTTCGCAGGGCAGACCTGAGCGTTGGGGGTAAGTTGTTCCTGCCTCCTGGAAACGTCCCCAAATCACCTCCAAGTGAATCAGAGCCTCCAGTCAGGCCTAACCATGAGCACGTCTGAGTCCGCAGTCAGGGCCACCAGGGTGGGCCCCAAGTTTCCTAAAATCTGTTCTTCCAGGTAACACTCTAAGGCCGATGTGCATCCGCTGCGAAAGCACAGGGGGGCCGTGCAGGCACCTAGGGACGGGTCCTGGGAGGGGAGAAGAATGTGTGCGGCAGGCGGAGGGTGCCACTCCCTCGCGGTCGTGGGGTCCTTCCCAGAGCACACAGGCAGGCGGCGAGTGGGGACCCCAGAGGAAGGGGCCTACCCAGTTCCCGGGGGAACCCTCGGGTACACAGGGTTCCAGACCAAATGGCGAGGGGGCGGGGTTCTTGCCGGAGCTGGCAATAGGTTCGCGTGGGACCGAGGCTGTGTGTCTTATTGGGGAGTGGGGAGAGG